CCCCAGAACCTAGATACCTGTTCTAAGCAAGAGGTCACATGCCTATTTAAGGTCGGTGACCTTGTTTGGCCTTTCGAAGGTCATTGTGACCAAAATCATAGAGGACTGTTGAGTTTTGCATTTGAATTAGTGACAAAAATTACGCTAGGCGGTATGTTCATGAAACGAAATGCTCACTTCGGTCATTTTATGTCAGTGACCTGTTCTGAACCTTAGGATGTTCATGGAAGATGTCTTATAAGGTTTCTGTTATCAATAAATTCGAAATGAGCACCAGAAACTACCCTATTCAGGAAGCCCCAGAATAGTTAAATAGGTTGATCTTGACCTTGGCCTGACCTTCATAACTGACGCTAGGTCAATGGGATTTGGTCATTCAGTTGTTGCGTTGCTTAAGAAAGCATCTCAGAGATGTATGGCTTCGTCTAACACCGTTGCTCCATCAGATTGAACGATTCCCTAAAAACTGGCTTCACTAGACCCATGGTCTGATTTGACCTGCCGTAGGTCATCGACCTTACAAGGCAAATCTAATTTGTTGATACCAAACAATACGCTATTCGATTATATACAGCTCTGCAAAATTTGGGGCGGCTACGCAACCCCGTTCGGAAACCATTTCAAAAAAATCTCGGGGAGTTCAATTTAATCTCCCCCCATCTCCACCCGAGCGCGTGTTAAGTAACAAACAATAACAAACGCACCTTTGGCATCATTTAAAACACAGTGCGCAGAAAGTTGTGTTACTCTGAAGGCATCACCGTCCCCCACCCTAAAAAGGCTGCAGAGTCCTACCCTTTCAGACTTCATTGGCTCGTGGTGGAATGAAACGGGCATTTCCATCGCGCATGCGCACAACCCAGCCTTTGCGCCTGGAACAGCTGACCTAGAGCTTCTCCATCGCTGGGCGGCCGGCCTCGGCTCCCCGCAGCAAAGCGGTCGGCAGACGACACCGCGGCCCGGCGTCATGCCTCCAAATGAGCTTGTCAGTTGTGCCTCTTGTAGCTGGGCCCGCTCCATGCACGGTGGACGGCGCGCGTCTCCCGTTCTGATCGCCCGCCCATGCCTACCGCGCGGCTACGTGAGCGATGCACTACGACGGATGAAAATCTTACCACGAGCATCGTTCTTCAGCAGACCTTTTTGGGCACACGTTGGGAATCAGGAGTGGCGTTGGCTGCGGGCGATACAACTTACTGTGACGCCATCACCGGCAAAAAATACACGGCAAGAGTTTGTGGCCATGTGGCACTGTTGTGCATCCACCTGCAGTACATTTCTGTGCATTGTTCTGTGACGTCAAGGCAGAACTGCGGCTGGATGCTGAGCATCCTTCAGTGACCCAGCTGATATTTATGACACTGATGTACTTGTCACTAAACCGGGCGTTTGATATACGCGTTGTTTCGATGTGAATAAGTGTGTGAACTATGCTACAAAACCGGGTGTTTCTGTTTGTTGTAGCGTCTGAGTTCGGCGCACACACATTGGACGGCGTCACTGCATTTCTGCGAACTTTTTGAAAATGCATGCAGAGTATTTATAAGCTTTCAGCACAGTCAAGTGTTAGCCCACCAGTGATGAACTCGCTGGAACCACAATCTGACTGAGAACATATGATAATTGTGTGTAACGTTCTTTTTTGCAGGATGAGCACCCCAGATAAAAAGGCATTCCCATACAAGATCATCCCTTTGGAGAGCGAAACACAAAAGGCTATCGCGCGAGATTTCGCCGGCTATCCCAATGGACTGGCTTCAGTTAACCACTGGGGCTTCAAGCTGTCTGCCACGTCCAGTCCGAAAGAAATAGAAAACCTCTACAACTACCCAAGGAAGGCCGGGGACGTCTGGGTAGTAACGCCTCCGAAGAGTGGAACAACCTGGACCCAAGAGATGGTGTGGCTCATCGCCAATGACCTGGATTACGATGGGGCCAAGAGGACACTATCAGAGAGGTAAGGTTACACCAGACACGGTGTACATGGCTTCCAAACGATCCATTTGCCAGCCAAAGCCTCTGAACATAATTGCCACATGACATCACTCCGCCTACAAATTGTAGTCCCGACATTGCCTCCACAAAAATCGCGGCCCTCGTAATACACTGCGCGATCTGCTTTCGCAGGTGGGATTTTCTCAGGACTGGTGCGTTGACGGACGGAGAAAAATATCCTGATCTTAAGACTACTCGGAGATCAGATGCCGCCTGCCAACAGCCAAGCGACAGCTCCCACTGCGCCCAGCCACGGTTCGTCAAGACGCACTGGCCTCTGTCCATGATTCATCCACGCGTGTTGGACGTCTGCAAGGTGGTGTACGTGGCCAGGAATCCCAAGGACGTCTGCGTCTCCTTCTACCACCATTCCAGACTCATGAAGTACAACGAATTCCACGGGGATATGCAGGTAGGATGTAGCGTGAGACACAGTATGATATGTGATATAAGCATGCGTGTTTCCAGCGCATGCGTGCCAAGCTGACGTCTAGTTTAAAACCATATGACATATCAGCATACAGGAAAACTTAATGGATGCCGTTAGGTATCAGCTAAAATGTTTTAAGTCTATTATGACGTAAGGCGATCATGATTTGTCGTTTCAGGCGTTTATGGAGTATTTCATGGAGGGCCTCATGGTGGCAACTCCGGTCATCGAGCACATGATAGAAGCATGGAATATGCGCCACCACCCCAACATCTGCTTCATCTTTTTTGAAGACATGAAACGTGATCTCCAATCAGAAATCCGCAGGGTGGCCGAGTTTCTGGGCAAGTCACTCTCGTGTGAGCAAGTAGATGAGCTGGCAGAGCACCTTCATTTTGATAACTTCAAAAAGAACCCTTACGTCAACAAGGAAGAGGGAAAGACGTCGGGCGACTTCCATGTAGATCGGGGTGATTTCATAAGAAAGGGAAAAATCGGTGACTGGAAGAATCATTTCACGCCAGAAATGAGTGAGAAGTTCGACAAGTGGATGGCAGAGAAGTTGAAGGGCACTGATCTTTCATTCACCATGGAGGATGCGTGAAACAGGATTGATGTAGGACGTCACACCAGTGCGTGATCATTGGCGTCCAGAACTTTAAAGTGCGCCGCTGGTTTTGTTCACTCTGTCGTGCTATGATGCAGAGCGAAACTGAAATTGAATTCATGTGCGTCTGAATACGAATTGGAGGTTTTGAACCTTAAGAGCTATGAAAACTGAGACGGACATTGGTCAGAAATCCAGACGTGACTGCCTGTTTGAGGCCGTCGCTCGTGAGGAGGAAGATGGGCGAAATACGGGACGGTTTTAGGCACATTCAAACAAGATCCGACAGCGGGTGACTGATTTTTAAAGAACAGCACAGGTAGTTATATATATATTATATATATATATATATATATTATATATATATATTATTTATTTATTATTTTATTTGTATATATAATATATATACACATGTATTTATATACATAGATGTATATATACATATATGTGTGTGCGCGTATGCGTGTGTGTGTGCATGTGTGCGTGCGTGTGTGTGTACGTGCATGTGCGTGTGCGTGAAGGCGTATGAGCATAAGGCCCACATTTTTGCAAGATGCAGACAGTCAAGACCCATAAAAAGGGTAGCCGCAACAAGGTGGGATGTTTAATTGTATCTTTGTTCTCTGCTCTCCGCATCTCTATTCATACTTCAAGACGAAGCCAGTTGGAACGGTGGATCATAAATTTTATTTGTGAGGATGCAACTGTACCTCCTGGAAGACTGCTGAACATAATTACGTTGAAGCAGGGTCCTCACTTTGGACACGGTGTGTTCTTTTTTAATTGTCTCCGAAGCTAGGCAAACAGAAACCGTATAATTCCAATGCATTACATCCATTTGTTTTTCTCACACAGAAGCTTTGACACGAAAATTTGATAATGTGCTTTATGTCAACAAAGATCAGTTTCTCCCAAATTCAGCTGCAATGCCAACCGTTTAGGCTCAATAAGAGTGCCGCCAACACCAGGATGAACAATAGTTATGCTGTATTGGAGCAACTATGTTGATTATTGTGATGCTTAGCCACCTTGGCAGAAGTAAAAATTAAAGCTACGGTTTCCAACGCAGCACCCATGTGCTGGGCCCCACAACTTTCTGACAATTTAGTATAGGTCTTATTAGTGCTGATTGGAAAGAACTAACCAAACATTATTATGTTCCCTCCAAAATTAAAGAACTTCAATGGTTCCATCACGTAGAGGAGATAAAGAGGGTTGTATCAGATTTTACTTTGTGTTCCCTCCTGCTGCAACTGCAGAGGATAGGACTGATGTTCTTTTAATTACACACATATATAAACTTGAGCTTTATACGTAGAGGTAAGCTTTTGGAGAGCGCAATCTTTTTTTTGGCGAATGACCTCTGAACCAACCCCCTCAAATGAGAAAGCCTGCCCCATCTCGTGTAACCTGAATCACATAGATATGGAAGTTGTGCCCATGTGCTTTTTTCATAGAGCTGCATCGAAAGCAGGTTAAATGTGTCATGACATGTAGACCAGAAGCGTTTGTTTTTACTATTGCGTAATTAGTCATGATTGCGACATGATAATTTTCTGCTCTTTTAATCAGTCAGTGTTTCCTCCACGACTGTTGCCACCTCGGTTGTGGTTGCTCAGGTGGA